CAGGATCAGTGTCATCACTGTAATCTCCAGGTCCCTTTGAAGACAAGGGTCTTTGTCTTAACTGAGGTTGAGTGTATTTGATTCTTTTTTTTTTTGACAGGTTACCGTCTGTATTTTCTTTTTTTAAACTTATTGAAGTATAGTTGATTTACAATGTTGTGCTAATTTCTGCTGCACACAGTGATTCAGTTATACATAGATATATATTCCTTTTCATATTCTTTTCCATTATGGTTTATCACAGGATATTGAATATAGTTCCCTGTGCTAGACAGTAGGACCTTGCTGTTTATCCATTCTATACATAATAGTTTGCATCTGCTAATCCCAAACTCCCAAGCCATCCCTCCCCCACCCCCCTCCCCCTTGGCCACCACAAGGGGGCCTGTGAGTCTTTCTGTCTGTGAGTCTGTTTCTGTTTCATAGATAAGTTCATTTGTGTATATTTTAGATTCCACATTTAAGTGATATCATATGGTATTTGTCTTTCTCTTTCTGGCTTCTTTCAAGCGTATTTGATTCTTTAAAGCTCACATTTAACCAGTGGTGACTCTTCCTACCTAGAAATTAGGTCCAACACCCTCAGAAGCCACTGAAATGTCACTCAACAAAGCAATTGTCTTCTTGCCTATATCTGGAATATCCTACATCCACAGATCTTCATCTCTGAATTATAGAAAAATCAGAGGTTATTTGGGACAACAACATGAAAAATAGACAACTACAAGAGCAATTGAAAAAAGAAAGATGACAAAAATTTGGTTTGGGTCAACAATGTCTGAAAGTATGTTTAAATCTGGTATCCAAAACAAGTCATATGTATGAAGGAAGAAATGAGAGACTAGAAATGAAGAAAAGTTAGAAAGGAAGAAAGGAAGGAAGGAAGGAAGGAAGAAAGAAAGAAAGAAAGAAAGAAAGAAAGAAAGAAAGAAAGAAAGAAAGAAAGAAGGAAAGAGAAGAAAGAAAGAAGAAAGAAAGAAGGAAAGAAAGAAAGGAAGGAAGGAAGAAAGAAAGAGACAGAAAGAAAGAAATACAGGAAGGAAGGAAGGAAGAAAAGAAAGAGAGAAAGAAAGAAAGGAAGAAAGAAAGAAAGAAGGAAAGAAAGAAAGAAGAAAGAGAGAGAAAGAATAAAGAGAGAGACAGAAAGAAAGAAAGAAAGAGAAAGAAGGAAAGAAAGAAAGAGAGAGAAAGAAAGAAGAAAGAGAGAGATAGAGACAGAGAGAAAGAAAGGAAGGAAGGAAGGAAGGGAGAAAGACAAGAAGAAAAGTAGAAATATTATAAGGAAAATTTTATGAAAAACGAAAACTAGTAAGGGAATAGGCAGTGGGCAACTGTTCCCTGAAGATGTCCAAGATTGGTATGAAACCAATCATCTGTGGAGCAAAAACGCATTGCTTCTGTTTGATAGAAAGAACGCTGCCCTGGGAGTCAGCAGGCCTGAGCATTCAGCAGGTTGTGCCACTAACCAGTGAGACCCTGGAAAGATCACTTAACCTGTCAGGACCTCAGTCTTCTTACCAATAAACGAGGAGGTTGGATGCAGTACAGCAGTGGGCTAGAGGTCACATTCACTCTGTTAGTTTTTGTTTTTTTTCACCCTCACGGGCCAGTGAGAGCCTCTTACTGACACCTCTTCCCAACTCTGCTTCCAGTGGCCTCACGTTGGCAGTTTGAAATCAACCATGGTGGGAGTCTCACACCGTGGAAATCGCTCCATGCCACAAATCAGTGCTTTTTCTCTTCTGAGAACCAACTGTTACGTTTACCACCACTGCACTGCCTGTGAGCCAAACCGTCCCAATTTCAAGCTAAACCTCTGTGCCTGAGCAACTCTCACTGTATCTCTACCACGATTATATCCCCCACTGAGGTCTAGACGTTGGCACAAGAACTGAATGCAGTTCTTCCTGCTAAAGAGATCACTCTCCCGCTGCTATGCTTGGCCACCCGGCCCCATCCAGGCACAACACGGGGTCTCGTGGTGTTGACGATGCAGGATGTTCTCAGGAAAGTGGGAGAAAGGGTTCTGGGTTGGAAAGAAACCACAGGAAGCAGGGAGATCTTTTTTGGGGGGTTGTATAAATGGGAAGGGAGTCCAGGGGAGGGGGTACGGAGGGTTTGTATATTCTTTATTCTACCGCTAAGTAGGTGCTCTGCTTTATCCAGAAACCTCCGTTCATGTGCCACTTGGGCCAAGAAAAGGTCAAATAAGAATTAAAGGCTCTCAAGTTAATAACAAATTTTCTGGAAAGAGCTCCCTTATACATGTTTTTGTTTTGCTTTCATTCTTTAAGTAAAGATCCTTCAGCACTCTCCTCCTTCTCCCATAGTTGTGTCTGTGAAGAGGAAGACATTCATCAGAGCAAAAGGCATCCTGCTGTCTCCAGGAGGGAAAACTGCCTAAGTAAAGTGAGAAAGACTTTTTGCCCCCAAAACATTAAGAGCAAATTTAAAGAAACTTAGGGAATTCCCTGGCAGTCCAGTGGTTAGGACTCTGCACTCTCACTGCCGAAGGCCCTGGTTCAATCCCTGGTCTGGGAACTAAAATCCCACAAGCCACGCAGTGTGGCTAAAAAAAAAAAAGAAGAAGAAAAAAAAAGAAATTTAGGGGCTCTATCTGTGGTATCTGTGCTGCTCAGTATGGTAGCTATTAGCCCCAAGGGTCTAGTGTACACTTGAAATGAAGCCAGTCTGAACTGAGATGCCCTGTAAGTATAAGATGCACATTGGATGTTGACATTTTAATTTTTAAAAAATGAATGTAAAAATATCCCAGTAAATTTTATATTGATGAATGCTGACTAATAATATTTTAGATACATTGGGTTAAATAAAACATATTCATAAAATCAATGTTTCTTTTTACTTTTTTAAAGGTGGCTGCATAATGTGGCTGACGATGTACCTATTGGAAGGTGCTGGGTTAGGGTCCAGGTCTCATCCAGTGTCTGTCTGAAGACCTTTAGTGACAGAGAACTTACCCCTAAGCAGAACATTCTATTTGAGACAGCACAACCGTTAGAAGATTTTCACTGCTCTTAGTTTTAACCTTTGGGGTCACAAAAAATATATTAATCCTCCTGCACAATACTGTTTTTCAAGATGAAGACAGGGGTGATGTGGAGCTCACCTGCCCTGCTGTCGCACTCCTCACTGTCTGAGGGATGCACTCTGCAGCCAGGACTCAGGTAAAACGTGTCCTCAGCCTCCAGGACTCTTTCCTCGGCATTGTTTTTTTGGGAAACTTCTCCTTTAAATGCTAACTCTACTGCTTGTATTGAACAATTGATTGCTATCATGGGACTAAAAAGAAGTCACTACTATTGACAGCTGACACTTAGGACGCAACTACTCTGGGTCATATTATGTTCTAAATATTTTACACAGTTCAACTCATTGAATCATTGCCACAACTGATGAGGCAAGTAATACAATGCTCCTTACTTAACACACAGAAATTAAAGCACAAAGAGATTAAGCAGCTTCCCGGCAGGGGCCAGGTGCAAACCCTACTGCCTTTGCTTGTGTTTTTATAATCCCCACTACTTCGGGCTCATGGTGAGTTAACGCTTTCTGTGATGGAACACTGTCCCTGGGAGGCTTCCTGGTGGTGGGGAGTTTCCGTCTCCTCCGTGGCCCCTACTCACACCCGCGTCCAACTCAACAGGGCATGGAGCGCCCTTTCGCACAGGCTGGGCGCAGACGGCGTTTGCTGATTTGAGAGGAATGAAGGGGGATCGGGGAGCCAGCATTTCCAAGTTGAAACCCCGTTTATCCCATGTGAAAAGAGACCTGGAAATAAAAATTCCTCCAGGCACTCTCATTCCAAGGGTAAAGCAGGTTGAGACTGAAATAGAAGAGAGAGTATTTCTTCTATTTCTCCATAAAAGAAATAGAAGAGAGAGACTCCATAATGTCTTTGGGCTTCTGAAAAGCTCTGAATCTATGCCTCACGAGTAATTATCAGTCTCCAGGAAAAAAAAAAAAAAGGTGAGGGTGGACAGGAATAAATCAGTGTGAACAACTTAGAACAAAGATGAGGATCAACGTGGAACATAGATAAGGATGAACTCTCCGGCAGTAAAAGCTAGATCAAACGGTTCATCCACTACTGAGTGAAGTCAGTCAGAGAAAGACAAATATCAAATGACATCGCTTAGATATGGAATCTAAAAACAGGGTACAAATGAACTTATCTACAAAACAGAAATAGAGTTACAGATGTAGAAAACGAAAGTATGGTTACCAGGGGGTAAAGGGGGGGAGGGATAAATTGGGAGACTGGGACTGACATGAGCACACTGCTGTATATAGGACAGATAACTAATAAGGACCTACTGGATAGCACAGGGAACTCTACTCAGTACTCTGTAATGACCTATATGGGAAAAGAATCTAAAAAAGAGTGGATATATGTAGATGTAAAACTGATTCACTTTGCTGCACACCTGAAACTAACACAACATTGTAAATCAACTATAATCCAATTAAGCAAACATGTAATGGCTCATTCACAGAAACAAGAGATGAGTTCTAAAACTCCCATGGAATCTTCGGGCGGGGGGACGATCTGCGATCCATCCTTAGACCTACCATGAAGAGAGACACCAGTGACGCCTTCCTTTTGGCCAAAAACACTCAGAAGTTGTTGGTGGGGGGTTAGATAGAAACTGAAAATTAGAATCGGCCAACCACAGAGGAAATCGCTCTAAGAATAAAGCGGGGAAGAGGCAACGGCAGATGAGAGAAGAGGTAAGAGGAAGATGGGGCTCTGTGGCGCTCAGGTCAGGCTGCCCCTCTGCCCTGCCAAGCGGCCGCCTCCTCTGGGTGCCCCGCTTCCAGGCCTGGGGACCAGGCGTAGGTTTGCCGCAGAGCTGGTGGTGCGGAAGTCCTGTTTTCTCTTCCCCGCAGGTGTGGAAGAAATCCCTCAACCCTGACCCAGAGGGGAGGGGGTACCCCAGGCCCCAAGTCAGAAAGCTTGCAGGTCAGAGCCCACTTACCCAGGAGCTGCACGGCAACCGGAAGGAGAGAAAGGAAAGACAGGAGCGCGGACAGCTTCATGGCCCAGGGTTGATCCTCTTCTTGCAGGGATGGAGAGCAGAGAGCCGGGAGAACCAAGACAGTGAGGGCGCCGGCTCGCCCTGCCCCTCCCCCCTTCTCTGCACAACCGGCTGAAAAGACACTTGGAGGCAGGGCCCACTTTTAAAGGGCTTCTGAAATTAGGGAAAACCTCCAATAAGGAGATATCCTGTCACATGAGGGCGGTTGGAAAAACAGGAATTCAAAGTTACAACTTTGCTTTGTAAGCTAACTTCTGAGAAGAGCAGACACAGGGGAAGGGGAGAGAGGGACACGTGGGGGGAGAGCGATGAGGAAGATGGGGGAGGCGAAAGGGGGCTGGTGAGAAATGAGCAGCCGGGCCGGACTGCAGGGCAGTGGGAAGTGAAACTGCTCTGGACCTCCTGGTCCTGCTCGGAGGATGGGGCCATGGGGAGGGCAAGCTGGAGGCCACTACCTGGCCCGGAAAAGTCAGGTTTCCTCTGGGAAGCCACTCGGCAGACAAATCCCACCAGAACATGGTAGAGAGGGTAGGCACTAAGAAAAAGGACAGTTTTCTGGGGGAAACATACTCTTAAGAGCTGAAACGGACCCACCTCGTTCTCCATATTCAGTGCTTAGAGCCTCCTTTTTCCTTAGAAATCTTCAAAAGAAACTTCACGTGGAGCTTTGTTCCTTTTGGCTAGAAGAAAAGTGAAATAGAGACTAAGCCTAGGAAAGAATCTCAGTCATAACAGGAGGGAGAAACTTCTAGAAGTCTTTTTCTAGAAATTTCTCTAGAGAGCCAGAGAAAACAGTGACAGGATTTGCAGTAAAGCCTCGCTGCCCATCCTCGACCATAGTGATCTTCTTCAGGTTCACTAGGGTCCTCTTGCTGGCAGAAAACCTGCTCATTTGGTCAAAAAGATGTATATTCATTACAAGATAGGCAGAATACTTTCTTTTAAAAAAATGGAAACAGGTATTTCATTAAGCACCATATTAACCCTAAACATCTATTTTGTTATTTTTTCAGAAGTGAAATATGAATTAAGAACATTTTGAAGAAGATATTAGTAATTAGATAGCCAACCCACAACTGGCGTGTGGGAAATGTTAGCCAGTCAAAAAGAAGCTACTGGAAACATTGTATTCTTTGAAATTTTAAATGAATAGTTTGTCTTCAAGTGGAAAGCTCACACAAAGATTCACACCTCTGTGATAATGTTATAAACTTTGCTTCCTAATAAAAAATGTGACATTGTTCTCTTACTGAATTTTTTTTTTAGCATTCTAAATTTAAGATTATTCTGACAGGATGAAAAAGATGGTAAAAATGTAGGGCACAAGAAAAATGTTTCATTTTTGTTAAGCTAACTCTTCACTGACATAAAGAAGTTGGTTACAAAACAGAGCAGATGAAACAAAATGTTGTTTTCTAAAACAGTGCTTCACTGATTTATCATGAGAAAAAAAATATTTTAAATGAGGCATTCATGGTTTTTAAATGTAAATCAATTCTATAAATTAAAAAAGTTTGGCCTAATTTGGATTTCTATTAATTTCAGAAGCAAATAAAACCTAACTGAATTCTCCCTACACTCACATTCAGGGTTTTTTAAATTACACAAGTGTGTCATATGACCAACCAGGATCAGTGGTAGAATCTGTGACTTTGAAACAAAAGGAGGCCAACTGTCCCACAAAGAATTTACCCCATAACACTGACCTTACTGAAACAAAGATTTAACAGGCTAAAAGAAAAAGAAATCCAACTCTTGGGGGAGTGAAGGTGGAACTGGAAGCTCTAGAAATCCATCATTCTACCTCAACAGCTACTGAATTGGCAGAAAGTGTCTGGAGGAACTATTTTGGAACTCTAGACTCTAGTGGAAACCTGGGAGCATCCGGTGGAGAGCTTGGTGGAGAGGCTGCTAAACATCAGTGAGTTTCAACCTCTCCCCTGTGGTAGTGGCTACCACCCTCCACTCCCCCATCTCTGTGGCAGGTAACAGTGAGGGTGGCAGACTGTTTGGTGCAGCTTGCCAGAACCAGGACAGACCGTCAGGAACTTGTCCTCCAAATATCAGAGTTGTGTGTTCTGAAGGCTGACTGCGCTCTTCATTGCTTTCATCACTTCTGTTCAACGTAGTACTGAAAGTTCCAGCCAGAGCAATTAAGCAAGAAAAAATAAAAAAATAAAAGCATCCAAGAAGATGTGGCACATATATACAATGGAATATTACTCAGCCATAAAAAGGAATGGAATTGAGTTATTTGTAGTGAGGTGGATGGACCTAGAGTCTGTCATACAGAGTGAAGTAAGTCAGAAAGAGAAAAACAAATACCATATGCTAACACATATATATGGAATCTAAAAGAGAAAATGGTTCTAAAGAACCTAGGTGCAGGACAGGAATAAAGACGCAGATGTAAGGAATGGACTTAAGGATGCAGGGAGGGAGAAGGGTAAGCTGAGATGAAGTGAGAAAGTGGCATGGACATATATATACTACCAAATGTAAAATAGATAGCTCATGGGAAGCAGCCACATAGCACAGGGAGATCAGCTTGGTGCTTTGTGACCACCTAGAGTAGTGGGATAGGGTGGGTGGAAGGGAAAGCAAGAGAGAGGGGATATGGGGATATGCGTATGCATATAACTGATTCACGCTGTTATACAGCAGAAACTAACACAACATTGTAGAGCAATTATACTCCAATAAAGATGTTAAAAATAAAACAATAAAAATAAAAGCATCCAAATTGGAAAGAAAGGAGAAAAAGTATCGCTCTTCACAGATGGCATTATTTTATATGTGGAAAACCCTAAAGCTTCTACAAAAAACAAAAACAAAAAGAATGCTAAAGCTAATAACCAAATACAACAAAGTTGAAGAATATAAAATCAAAACACAAAAATCAGTTATGTTTCTATACACTATTAATGAAAAATCTGAAAAGGAAATTAAGAAAACAATTCTACTTACAATAGCATCAAAAAGAATAAAGTACTCAGGAATAAATTTCACCAAGGAGACAAAAGACTTATACAATGAAAACTACAAAACATTGCTGAAAGAAATTAAAGAAGACCTAAATAAATGGAAAGCTATCCCATGTTCATAGAATGATAAACAAAGCACTGTTAAGATGACAATACCACCCTATCTCTTAGAATACTATCTCTTAGAATACTACCCTAAGAGATCTACAGGTTCAATGCAATCCCTATCAAAATCCCAATGATTTTTTTTGCAGAAATAGAAAAACCCATCTTAAAATTCATAAGAAATCCCATTTAGCCAAAACAGTTTTGAGAAAGAACAAAATTGGAGATTTCACACTTCCTGATTTCAAAACTTACTACAAAGCTACAGTACTCAAATAGTGTGGTACTGGCATAAATGAGTCATAATGACTAATAGAATAGAACAGAGAGGCCAGAAATAAACCCTCGTATTTGCAGTCAATTGATTTTTTTACAAAGGTACCAAGGCCATTCAATGCAGAAAGGATTCAAAATGGATCAAAACCTAAAGTTAAGAGCTAAACTATACAATTTTTATAAGAAAACATTAGGAAAAAAACTTCATGACATTAGATTTGGCAAATGATTTTTTCTTTTTGGACATGACACCAAAAGCAGAGCAACAAAAGAAAAAAGTAGATAGATTAGGCTTCATCAAAACTAAAAACTTGTGTATCAAAGGATACTATCAAAAGAGTGAAAAGCCGACTCACAGAATGAGAGAAAATATTTGCAAATCATACACCTAATAAGGGATTAAGATCCAGAATATATAAAGAAATACAACTCAACAGCAACAGCAAAGCAACTTATTCTTAAAATGGGCAATGGACTTCAATAGACATTCCTCCAAAGAAAATATACAAGTAGCCAATAAGCGTGTGAACAGATGCTCAATATCATTAGTCATCAGAAAAGTGCAAAGAAAACCACAATGGTATAATGTTTCACATCCATTAGGATAGCTATTATCAAAAAACAAAAACAGAAAATAACAAGCATTGATGAAGATGTGGAGAAATTGGAACCCTTGTGTATTGCTGGTGGGAATGTAAAATGGTATAGCCACTGTGGAAAACAGTTTGGCAGGTCCTTAAAAAGTTAAATGCGGAATTGCCCTATGATCCAGCAATTCCACTTCTAGGTATATACACAAAACAATTAAAACCACAGACTCAAACAAATATTTGTACACCAATGTTTATTGCAGCATTATTCATAGTAGCCAAAAGGTAAAAGCAATACAAGTGGCTATCAGTAGATGAATGAATAAACAAATGTGGTATATATATACAATGGAATATTATTCAGCCATAAAAAGGAATTCTGATATGTGCTACCGCATGTACAGTCTTGAAGTAATACAGAAACAAGAGGACAAATATTGCATGATTCCACTTCTATGATGAACGTAGAATAGGCAAATTCATAGAGACAGGAAAAATAGAGGTTACTGGGGACTGGTGTGGGAGGGGAGAATCAGTGCTATTGTTTAATGGGTTCAGAGGTTCTCTTTGGGATGATGAAAATTTCTGAAAATAGTGGTGATAGTTGCATAACATTGTGAATATACTTGCAACCACTGAATTGTACATGAAAATGATAAATTTTATGTTATGTATATTTTATCACATTAAAATGAAATCCAACTCTTAGAATCCTCTTTATACCCTTCTACTAAGTTTTGGTTCTAGTTTTTGGTTTGCTATTGATGACAGTGGTTGTTTTCAACTAGTACTTCCTTCAAGCTAAAGAAGGATTTCTATAAAATAAAGGAAATCCTCATTTTTTCTAATTGGTAAGACAATTGCTGAACTATTTCATTTCCTCTTAGACTTTCCCTTCACACCCACGCAATTCCATATAAGATGAACTTAGTGACTCCTCTCTTCTGAAACAATTTCAAGAAAATTAGCTCCACAAATTATTTGGTAACCTGTTCTACCATTTCTCCTAGCTAAAACTGGTGACTGATGCAGAAGTTTGTTTTGTTTAACCATCTCTATCTTTTAATGGGCAAATTTGCTCAAATGATAACAAGATAATTTCAACTCAGAAGGAAAAAAG